CCGAAAAACTTCAGCGATACAAGTCCTTTCTTAAGTAAAATTTATTCTTTCTCAATACAACTTTGCAATACACTTAATTTCCACAATTAAACACACGCTATAATTCACAACGAACGATTCACGCACTTACTTACTACCGCGCTTGACTCAATTGTCTGTCTCTGTCTGTCTGTCTGCAATTCTATCCCGATTAATTGTCTGGCGCACTTATATACAACAATAGAGGGCGCCTAGCAAATACTGGATTATTCGTGATATTCCCCGATCTTGCTAGAACGCATTACGTCTTACCAGGTTCACGTGACTTCCGCTGTCGTAACATTATGTATTAAGGATAAAGGTGTGATATGCAAGTATCTCATGTGTCTTCGCATAGTATTTAGTAAAATAGTCTGTTTATATGCAGGTTCGGCATAAGCAGTGGTAAAAAACAAACAAAAATCTGTTGAAATTGTTCTCTCTAGTTGTCTTTGTTGTTCTGGATAGTTGATGGTATCTATACACTGCCCACAGGAATATTGCAGAAACTTCGTAGGTTAGTGTAGGTAAAGGTCAACCACTGCAATGTCCTTTGATGCCCAAATAAATGATGTCTGTATATTTTCCTTACATCTAGTGATGCTATTGCAAAGAAACGAATCGAGGTTTGCTGTATTAGTATCGAGCCTTGTTACTTTCAGGGTTATACTTGTCTATCATCGTGGCTAGATCTGCAGAGATTAATGTTAAGAGAGGAAAAGCTGACAATCTATTCACAAATCCAGTATAGATATTTGAGTAAGTAAGCACATTATGCTGATATAACAATGTGTAGGCAATCAACGATTTACAAGCAAAAGGAAGAGTTTTATTGATGGTGGAACCTGCTGCATGTTTCGACAGAATAGTGGTCTGTCTTCTTCAGATATAATCTGTACTAAGCAATACAGGGTTTTATGTATATTTGCAAAGACAAAAGACACAAGGATTAAACGTGATGGAAATGAGGTCAGCAGGTGGCAGGATTATAGGTGAAGTTCAAGTTTGATCAAGTGTATGAGAGGTGAATAGACCTTGCCAAGTACGGTTGATATTGCTGGAGCCATTATCACGGTTTAGTAAGAGATCGTTTGCTTTGATGATTTTTATAGCTTCTAAACAATCTCTTTCTGTTTTAGTTTTGAGTTTATGTAGGAGAAGAATTTCATCCCAAAGTATTTTGTGACCTGTTTCAAATTGATGATGTGTTAAAACGAATATTTGAAATGCACCTCTATGCATGTGACCTTGGTGTTCTTTGCGTCTTGTTTCCAAAGGGATGTGACGTTTGTCCTATATATTTCTTTCCACATTCATATGGGATACTATATATGTCATATATATATGCTCCTTTAGTAAGGATTCTTTGGGGTTAGGTAGTAGGGTGTTAATCTTAGGTGAAAGTTTGAATACAGTTTTCATATCAATGCTCAAATTATTAAATAGGCTTGTAATGTCGTTAGTAATTTCTCGCATAAAAGTGAATGAAATAAATTTGCTATGTTTTATGTTGTTGATAGGTGAAAGTTAACATAATATTTCTTACGGTTTTGAAGTTTAATAAAAGTCCTATCTATGATGTTGGGGTTGAAACCTCTAGATAGTGCTATATTCTTTAAGTAGTTCAATTCAATAAGTAAGTCTTTTGTGGGTGCACAGTTGTATAGCACGATATACGTAGGTGAATTAGGAGGATATTTTCTGTGATAGGTGGTGATTAGATCTTAATGTGTGGCAGCATGGTGACGGAATGGGGTTTCGTATACATACTGGTGATAACTTTATTATTCTCTCTTTTTACAGCATCTTTCCCATGTCGCCATACATTAAAAATATCATCAACGTATCTTAACTACATTTCAAGGTTCTTGATGTCTGTGAATCTGTTTCCAAACACTTCTCATAGAACAGACATGTAGAGGTCACTAAGTAGAAGGTAAGGGAGGAATCTCATCGCTAATCCGTTATTTTGTTTGTAAAGCTGGCCTTCGTATCAGAGGCGGCACGAGGTAGTTAAAAGATTCGGGGCTTGGGCTCATTTTTGGCGTTTCAGAATGAAATTCTGATTTTTCAAGACACCAACTGGGGATTCGGAGCACTGTCAAATAGGATCGGGGCACGGGCCCCGTGCGCCAGCACCTAGCAACGCCTAGGCTTCGTATGTTTGTCTTCTCATGCACTGGGGGTCAAAAGTGACAAAAATATTTCATTTATGGTATCGCCCATTTCCCTACGAAACGTCAATACCCAATAAACCAGACCAGAGTCTGCTTGTGGGTTGTTTGTTACTGAACAAAGAAAGAGTGGAGACATTTCAGATTTTTGAAAAAAACAAACAAAATGTTTTACACTTTGTTCGCTTATGTGGAAGTTCTTATTATGATTATCATTAGTATTTTTTTAAGTTAACACTGAATAATCTTACATTTGAGTAATGAAAGTGTGTTAAGACACGAGGTTGTAGTTTATTTAATTCTGAATCTCTATTTTTAACTAGAACTTATTGAAATGAACATAACTATTTTTGGTCTATGTCAGAACTTTAAGTATATATATATATATATATGTATGTGGGTGTTAAGGATTCTTCTACAGAAGGTGTCTGTGACTTGTTGGCGATAAATTCGAATAATAAACGGACACTACGCACTCCACTTGTTTAAAAATATTATATCCAAAACAAGATAAACGTATGTACAAAAATTCTTTGCACTATGGAGATCACAGTTGTATCTTAAACACTATACAGTTCTCTTCTTCTTGTCAAAAGTTCACTTAGGCTAATTCAATGCTTGAAAATCAAGATGACAAACCGAACTATTTTTCTCTACTTTTATCACAATAGTATAGGTGAATAATTCACTTACGTTACCTCGTGGGTTGCCACAGTTGTATCCCGAACTTCCAATAATTGTCTTCTTTTTGTCAGAGTCTACACAGGCGGGTTAAATTAGTTTAGAACACTCTTTGACAAGACAAATTATTCTCCTTATCAAACTGTTAATCTCACTGTAACATATCAACCATTAAGGTTATTCACTTTTCTCTGACTGAACTACTCTTTCAATTCACTTTACTTCTACTCCACTCCCACTCGTTTGGTTGCAGCTATTTATATGTTTATCACTGAGGCGTCTAGAACTTTCTATAGCCTCGACATCAATGAATTGCAAAGACGGCGTACGACTCTTACCGAGTTATGTAGCCAAACTAGTCATAACTATCATCTTTAAAATAATTGCTTTTAACTCTCTTGTTATGAAAAACTAAACAATCATGAAATATTAACTCATAAAATAAATAAATTAATAATACCTACACTAAACAGTCTTGTATATCCAACAGTCTATTTGTAGTTAAGCACAGAGCTACACAATGGGCTATCTGTGCTTTGTCTAACACAGGTATCAAAACCTCAATTTTAGCACATAATTCCTCAGACTTGCTGCTGAGCCACCAGAGGAGGGTCATAAAAATTTTACAGTAACGCAAATAAACATTAAATATTAAAACAGTTCTATGGGTCTTCCTGCTGTAAACTAAGATCACTATAAGAAATTGTTTTATTTTAACTTATAATTCGGCTCTATAACAAATGAAATTGTCCTCTTATCTACATCCTTATTTAAGATTTTGTTTTTGTTTTGAATTTCGTGCAAAGCTACACGAGCACTATCTGTGCTAGCCGTCTCTAATTTAACGGTGATAGACCACCTGCTACCAACTCTTAGGATACTCTTTTACCAATGAATAGTAGGATTGACCAATCACATTATATCGCCCCCACGGCTGAAAGGGCAAGCATATTTGGCGACAGGGATTCGAACCCGCTACCCTCGGATTGCAATTTGAGTGCCCTTACCACTAGGCCCCTTATTTAAGAATGGTTTTAGGCATTAGCAGATTGAACTGGGTTTTATATTTTTATAAAAATAAATATATAGTTAACTGCATAGGCGACAAAGATATCGATTGTTTAACCTATTCATTAATTTCATATTTTTATAGGCAGTTATTGCTTAAAGTGTAGGAGTAGACGACTTTTCAGTCTCTGTATGGAGACCCTGTGTTTAAGGTTTTAATTTCACGGTGAAACCCCATATGCTTACAAACACACTACCTAATTATACTTTTTTTCAAATGAGTTAAAAATCATAGATGTTAAAAGAGTGACAATAAGTAAAACCTCACCTGCAAGGTCCGTCTGCTAAAACAATGTCTTTTGTCGATTTAATTTGAATTACCTGCCAGAGAAGTTTAACCCAACCAAAGCACAGCCCAACTCCAGTTATGGAGTTTCATTGCAGCAAGTTTGACAATGCACAGTCTATGTAGCATATTCTTTTGTCTATTTTGTTCAAAGTAAACTGATTAGGTGTGACTTACATGACTTCCATTGTTACACTCAACATCTAAGCAAATACAACAGGTTGTTACCTTGAATCCATGGTTGCTTATACCAAGACGTACAGCTCCACAGCATTTCTTCTCTTGGGATGAAATTTTGTATAATAATACTAAAACAGGAACTAGGTAGAAATAATAGATGCTTTGATCATGCAAGAAAGCTCGTATATTTTATCTTGTGATGGCATCACTGTTTGATTGATTATTTTCACACAGCATTCACTGGCTGTAACATACAGACATCATTCACTCAGCCAGCAAAGGAAATTACAGCCATTGACGTATTTCAATACTTAGGTGAAATGGCAGTAGTATCCCCGCACGTAGAGTAGGTGTTACCTGCAACTAAAAAAAAATAAAAATACAAAGGCAACTTCAATGGTTTTTGTGGACCACATATTTATGCAAGAACCATAGAAACTAACTACATAAAAATTGTAAACATTCTTATATCACTAAAACTAGGCAGAAAACATAATATAGGGCTTCAGGGTAGATTTCTCTTCATGTTGCAATGATGCCGATCATGAGAGTAACAAGACAAGACACAGTGATTCAAGCACAAAGCAACATTTAATGACAGTTCACAGTTTAGATATAAAATAACATATTATAAAAAACACACTAAGGGTAAGTGATCCTGCATGTGCACTTTAGTAACAGAAAAGAAAAAGTGTGACTAGTAAAAGATACTGACAAAGACTTTAAATGAAAACCTGTACCTCTCTCCCGTGGTAAATCATGTTAAACTATAATGAAATATTATTACTAAGGAAATGACCCAAAGTTAAAATAAAATAAAGTAAACTCTCTCTAATCCATGGTTAAATCCAACTTATGACTTGGATTTTACTTATCACAATTAATTAACTTTCAAAAAACTTCTGTAAATAAATCACTTGTTCTGTAAAACAAACGCTAGTATAACAATCCTTCACTTTTTTTTTCTTGCACATCAGACTTTATACATTATAAGTTCTTCACTGTATACAGTTCGTGTGGAGCAAACATAAAGAGCTTATTGAAAGACTTGTGAGATCCTAACGGACGCTTACGCAAACGAGAGTAAGAGTAAACCTTAATGCTGCTTGAGATCTTTAGGAACTCTTGTGGGGTAACTTAAAGAATACCCAAAATCTATATAAGTACACTATACAAAATCAGAGCTCTCGAGCCCAAACATGACTAAACATCGCCAATAAACCTCGATTTCTTAGATCACAAAAGACTATAATTTGTGCGCGTTATTTTATATAACTTGCTTGAGGTGAGTAGACAAAAGGGGAGATTGCCCATAGCTATTATGCGATTCACCAACAAGAATAACGCTCAGCTCATTAATTAAATGATTTTTGTTTTGTTCCTGTGAGAAAACCAAACAGTTGGCTAATTCCAGCTAGCTCTGTTGGAAAAGCAAATTTTATTAACTTGCTCCAGTGCCTCGCCATGTCCAAAAGAAGAACCATAAAAAAACATAATTTTAAGATTTTACTTTTTAATTAAACATGGTACCTCACTGTATTACACTATACACAGAATTCCGAGTGAGACCTAGTGTAATGATTTGTATATAGATATAATTACTTTTTTAACCTGTTACCAATATGTCTATAAATGCATTCTAAAATTGTATTAGCTTTAAATTACTAATAGCAACAGAACACTCTTTCAGTGGCTTGAGTAAACTATCTCTACTATATCAAGTTTCTTTACTCCAGAAATGCTCTTTTGTGAGTTCCTATCTAAATTATATGTGCGATCCATATTATGATGACCAAAGTGCATTACCTTTCGCTTTAAAGCTAAGGTTAAATTCATCCAATGTCTAGACAGCATATAGGAACCAGCGCTTAAATCTAATTTCAGTGGCACAAGCAAATGAGAATAGTAACACATTCCCCCTAGATGGAATGCCAGATCATCGCAGGTTAATCTCCAGCTATGCTCTGATACCAACTATACAGATGGTTTGACCAAAGCGACTGAGATAAAGGTGTTGCTGAAGAACACAAAAACGTGTCGCTAGCAAGCCTTGAATGCCCAACCTTCCGACTATGAGTCTAAAGTACTAGATACTGGGACATTTTGTCCGTAATTTTCACTAACTGTAATAATTAGAGGTAATTTGCTAAATATTTGTCCAGGTAACCAACTGGTCCATGTTATTCTGTAGTTCTTCTACGTACTTAATACAGCTACAAATACTCAAGAGTTTAATGCCATCTATAAACTTTAGTAATTTACTAATTATGTCATTGTCAATATCATTAACCTAAACGAGAAAAAGAAAAGATCCAAGCACTGATCCCTAGGGCATTCCACTAGTAACAAAGGACTCCATTAATAATAACTTTTTCTTTTCTCTTATCAAATTATTCTACGGTCCAATTGTTTATTATTTCCCCAGCTTTCACAATGTGAATTTCTCACTTTTTTAAATATAAGTGCACCAAATTTACATCCTTGATTTTATCCAGTAACATCCTCGAAATAAGCTAACATATTAGTAAGGGCACATTTCCCTTTAGTGAATCCATGCGATTTCTTTCTGTCATATCGCATTTTACTAGATGATTTTGCAAAGTATCTTTAATCAAAATATTTAGAATGTTTCACAGTAAAAAAGTGTATTTCTTTAAGTTTAGTTTGGATACGAAAACTGCTCAAGTTAACTATAAAATTTCTCCTTACTTTAGTTGCCCACAAATTATCATCATTGGTCATTAAGTGCGTTAAAGCTATGTCTTCACTCGTAATGTCCCGAAACAGAGAGCTGTCTTTTCTGTGGACGAATCATGTAACAACCCGGGAGAGAACAAGAAATAATTTAGTGAGAGCATAGCGTTATATAAAAATTCTACAAAGCTATCATTCTTAGTCGCGTGTGCTACCTATGCTACTGAATAAGTGAACAATTCTGTATCAATACAAGGAGGTAGAAAACACATGATATGACTGTATACCGCAGAACTAACATGATCTATAATTTCTACACTAAATCTTATCACATTTTAAAATAGAAGTAACAATAACAGCTATCCAATCCTTAAGGTCTCGCCCTCTTGCTACTCACCTTCGAGAAATGAGAAAGTGAAAGAAGTTTGCATATAAAGAGTTAGGTTTTTCCAAAAAGGGCTTATGAGGAAATGTGGTTGATAATGTTAAACTTAAAACAAGAATTTTAAAAATAATTTTAAAGGTAAGCAAAATGATAAAATGGGGACTGGGCTCTTAATGGATGCTGGTAGCAAGGTTTTTTTGTTGAAGACTATGAGAGAAAAACCCCAGACGTATCAGCGGCAAGTATGAAGATTTATAATGCTAAAATTCTGGTTTCGATACCATGGTGGGCATAGCACAGATAGCCCATTGTGTAGCTTTGCGCTTAACAACAAACAAATAAAGCACGATATAATGTTAGAAATATTCCGAACCCTGAATATTTCATGAGAAATACTTGTATTGACGTGAAATGTGTAGAAGTCAGTTTAATCAAATTTCTAGATTTGCTATAGTTTTGTTAGTCGTCTACCCTATCGGTAAGTTTAAACCTCTTAAGCTTCTGGTATTTATCATTGATTTTCTCCTTTATGCCTTTAGTTAGCCAAATAGGTTTAATTTTCCCTGTAATCCTTTCCAACTTTTTAGGTTTGTTTGTTTGCAGTTAAGCACAAAGCTACACAAAGGGCTATCTGTGCTCTGCCCACCACGGGTATCGAAACCCGGTTTCTAGCGTTGTAAGTCCGCGGGCATACCACTGTGCCACTGGGGGGTCAACTTTTTAGGAACAAGCCTCACTTGAATTAAATGCAATCTATTTTTGAAAACCTCACAAGCTACATCACCAATAACAAATCTTGTCACATGATCTCAAAGTTGGTTTTCTGAGAACTAAAACGACCACAAACACATTTTTATATTTCCTTATCACCCATAAAATGTTTTCAGTGCAATTAGTATTGGTGATAATTATAAGAAATTACTTACCTAACAAGATTTATGAATTTATTTCAAATGAGTTAAGATTATATTTATATTATTATTTTTTTTTATCATGACGCCCTCGTTCGTTATTTTTTAGTAATGAAAATGGCTCGGTTGACAACGTGTAAGAAAGTTAAAACCGGCTCTATTTGTTGTAATTTGTCTTCCGTTACTTCAAAATGTTTTATTTTGTTAATGTTTTTGCTAAGTTTATATCCTTTAGTACATAGCAAAGGAAATCTTTTGGTATTAGGTGAGGATAACTGGAAAGAAATGCTCTCAGGAGAATGGATGGTTGAATTGTAAGACGTTTGACTTCGTAACTTAAGTTCCTTAACTTCAACTTTCAAGTTCTTGGCTTATGACTCATTAACTAATTTTAGTTTTAGCTTTAAAACCTAGGCTAAAATTGTTTATAAAATATAGTTTAGGGCAAAACCTCACTTTTATTAATGGTACTTATACGAGGTTGATACCTCAAAGCCTCTAACAATTTTAAACACCTGAATTAGGCCACCTCTACTAGAGGCTCTAGTCTAGATATTCTTCATTCCACAGGAAAGAATTCCAAATTTTAAGAGTATGACATTCGAGTCTCTTTATTGTTCTGAACAGATTTCTTGTGATGAATTTAACTTTTAAATATTTATTTCTATGTGTATGTATGTGTGTGTGTGTGTTTGTATAGTTCTTTTAAATCTAGTTATTGACTGTTTTTATTTACATAGCTTTGCACCCTGGTGTCCTGCATGTAAGGCCTTAGAACCTGTTTGGAAAGAATTTTCTAGCTGGAGTGATGACTTAGGAATTAGTGTTGGTCATGTAGATGTTACCCTAAATCCAGGTATAGTAGTAGATTTGTTAGTCAACACAAACAGATATTCAGATTGTAATTCTAATATTATGCATAATTTTCTATTTCTTTTCTTCAAATTTATGTAAATATTTTAGAAACATTTAGAAATCTCTTTGAACAAGTACAGATTAAATGAGTAAAGTAAAACAAAAAAGGAAAACAAATCTTGTTTATTGATTGTTATAAAAGTTTGGGAGACAAACATAATTGAAAGGAAATACAGTGTGTTTGGAAATTATGTAAATGATATTGTTATTTGTTTTAATGAACTTGTTAGCATAATTTCTGTATTACCTTGTATATACATTTTAATTTCATACTCAGTGTTTAAGACTTATGATTTATGTCAAAATATTATAAAATTTGATATATACAGTAATAGAACCATAACAATATGTGTTTGAAATCATTTAAGCAACAATGGAAACAGCAGAATTATAATTGGTAGGCTATGTTGATTTTATACAGGCAAAAATAAATCTGGACACCAGTTTAAACACCTATAATTAATATCTCAAAAAAGGGATAAATAGCAACAGTTACTATAGATGTTTGCTTCATATTCACATTTGTTCATCATGCTACAGTTATGTTTAAATAATTCTCCAAAATATAATGGCTCTCTTACCTACTTATAAAAGAACACACAGAAGAAAGGTATGGAATTTATAGGTTTTTAGTGTACAATGGTGAATCAGCAACTACCATAGTAAGATGTCATTTATTTAGTATGTGATAAAGATATGGTCATACTACTTATCAAGTGTCATTTACCCACAACTGTATATTTAATTATTTCAGTTTTTATCCAAAGCTTGGGAACAAAAAAGAACATTGAGAAACCTTTTTTATCTTTATTAATCCACAAATTAAAAAGTGTTCTAAGACAGTGAGATGGCAAATTGGGTTTATCCGGCTCACCAACATTTTATTAAAGTAATAATATAATTTTTTAATATTATAAAAAACAAAAAATAAAATGCAATTGAGCAAAAGCCAATCTGAACATGTATGCATCCCTACTTAATTTTACCACGACCCCTCCGGTCCATGAAGCGTAAAAAGATCTACCTCCTGGCCCTTGTCCAAAAAGGTTTGGAGACCCCTGGTCTAGACAATATGATTACAAACTTTTTCAATGATTGTTTTTTGTATCTTGTGTTTCATCCCTGGACCATAATCATGGAGCTATCATCTTCTGGACTCCTCAGCTTTTGCATCCTATTATGATAGAGTATAATCCTCAACAGATTTTTTATTGACCATCAAGGGCACTTTTGTTTATTAAGGGAACTTTTAAAAAAAACAAATGTTTAATGCATGTTATGAGAGTAGGTTTTCACAGAAAATGTATATCAGTTATGGTTTGGTTGTAGATTTTTTCATTTGTGTTATTATTTGTGATCTTATGACAGGATTGAGTGGAAGATTTATGGTGACAGCTTTACCAACAATCTATCAGTAAGTGTACCTCTGTTAGAATTTCTCTTAAGTGTCTTGTACATAGACATTGTTATGCTGTGTGCTCTGTGTTTTTGGCACATTTATTTACTTTTAAAAATATTGAAAGGCTGAAAATATAAAATTGTATTTTGATTCCCAAGAATTCCATAGTTTTAAAATGCTTAAATAAGTCAAGTTTTATGTGACTAATTTGGTGCACTAGTCAGTTTTAAAAGATATGAATAGACTGAAAAAATTCAGGTAAAAATTATTTTATTAAACTTTTTAAATATTAAAAGAAGATCCTAAATTAAATACAAGCCAAAATGAAAACAACTGTTTTTATTTTAAATTTGAAAGAGATAAATTTATAACTGAATCTTCCATAAAGTTAGAAAAAATTCTTACAGAATAAAATTACAAACCTTAATTATTTTTTCTTGAAAAGTGAACCTACAGTTTGTACCAATTTGCACACAATTGTTTTGGATGCATTTTCATTACCTGACATTCCACTTTTAAAAGATAACAATATCAGTTATTATGTGTACAATAGGTACATCTGTGCACAGTACCATTTACTATTAAAAAACTATTAATTCTTCAGCATTTTACCTTTATTTATGTCTTACATAAAAAGCTTTAGAGAATCTGTACATTTAATGTTTATTTTAGATTACTCTAGGTACATGATAATCAGAAATGTATTGCTTGAAATCCATTTGATAGAGCTAGCAGAAAGTACAATTCAGTAGAAAAAAAACATAGATCACTGAAATAAATGAAGCTCAATGTTTGTGTGCTTTGTAATGGTATTGTTTCTAATAAAATATAAGTAATAACAAAATGTCTGCAAAATCATTATTAGTTTTCAAGAGTACTGTATTTTTAGTGTGAAGGACGGGCAGTTCCGACAGTACAGAGGATCTCGAGAAAAAGAAGCTTTTATAAGTTTTGTGGAGGAGAAGAAATGGACCAGCATTGATCCCATATCTTGGTGGCAGTCTCCACAGTCTTTTATGTAAGTCACTTATAGTTGTAGTTAGACAAAGTTGTATACAAATTAAAATATCAATTAGCATAATGTATTCTTTAGATATACCAATAAAATATGTTTTGTAAGTTAGGGTCCTACTTTAAAAATTAAAACCTACTTCATTAGTTTCAGTTAAAATTGTAGATGGCTATCTTGTTAATGCACTAGTTGATACCAGCAAAGTTTAGAAACATTTTTTGGGATGGGTATGAAGTAGTGGTTAACATGTTGGGCTTTAGATTTGAGGTTTCAGTGTTTGAGATGTAATACTGCTGAACATGTTCCACAATATGAAGTGACATCAATCTTGTTATTTGGTTCAGATTTCCAGACAAAGTCCTAATGGCTTCAAATGCTGTTGACTGGCTGCCTTCTGTCTTCTCAGCAATTCAGAATTTGAGATGGATATCTCTGAACCATAGATATTTCTGATGTGGCTTACTCCTATGTATACATAAGATGCTAATTAGGTTAAAAAATTCCAATTCCATGAAGCTTGTTTTAGAAACAAAAAAATCATTTTTTTCAAATTTAATGTGTTAAAGCTGAAATGTAAATCTGTAGACTTTTGTATATACATTTAAATTCTCATATTCTGATTCATACTATTAATCAGGCTTGTAAGGTAGTATCTTTTACTAGTAACTTAGTAAATTAAAAACCAATTTCACCCTTGCATGTTCTGTGTATTTAAAAATTACTTTCTGAAGTTTTTTATTTATTTAGAACTTTAAGTATATATTTTAAGTCACTACCAGTTTCAGTTGAATATATATTAATGAAACAAACAGAAAATTTAGTTAAGACTGTATGGTACCAGCCATACTGGTAGAGTATATACAGACTATATACCTTCTGATAATGTTGAGGACGTAGAGGGGGGGTTATAATTGAACCAAATCTTGTTTTAATTGGGTCTTCAGTGGATATATAGTCACATACTTCCAATTCATAGTTTCTCTACAGTGGTGAATAAAAACCACACATCCTTCTCAGTGAATGTAATGCTGCTGTAGGCGATAGCTTTTAGTTTATGCAATTTTTATAATGTAGCATTCATACATAACTGGCTTTAAATTTTTAACAGGATGTTTTGGTGATGATGATAATGCTCAGTAAGTTAAGATTAACTCAACATATTTGATATATTGTTAAAATGGGGGAGGGCTGATATGAGAATGTTCCTGTTAGTCATACATTAAAATTTTCAGGTCCAAACCAAATCCTTCAGTGGACATTGTGATCATTTATGCAACTATTCTACAACCCTAGTACCAACCATTGACAGGTTTTGTGCGAATAAATATGTTTGCTTACCAAAAAAAAATTAATACATGAGAGAAACATTTAAATGGAGGATTAAATCACAAATGATGATCATTATACATGTAATAATAACATCATTATGTTATTTTTAAAGATCCTACAAACATCATTCAATGTGTTAAGGTGGTTTGGAGGCTATTTCACACTGTCAGAGAGAGGCTATGAAGCCTGTGGGTTAAGGGAGTTTGAAGATTATTTCACACTGCTAGAAAGAGACTGTGAAGTCAGTCTTTAGATGAACAAGAAACAAATTGTGTATAGTTCACACAAGTTTTTAAAGTATAATTTAACTTAATATAGATTTGTATCCATGTAATATATAAGTTTATGTATTTAATTCACTAACTTTAAAAAAGGCAGACTGACTTTTGAAATACTAAAAGCCTTTGTTGTCATTCTGTCTCCACTCTTCATCTTTCATGTGACTTAAGTTTGCTTGCATCAGGAGGATGTATAGAAGGTCTGATATCTCACCATTATTAATATTTTCTTGTTGACAGTCGTGCTTTTAACTTTGCTACAACGAATTTGAAAGTGAACATTAATTCTGATGCAAGTACTTCCAATGATATGTACTTGTGTAATTATCATGGTTTATCAACTTCTTCCATAGCTGGTTACAAAACTGTATTATTAGCCATCATAAGAAGCCATTGAAGCTATCAGAGCCTTTTGTTCCCATTATTCAAAGATTTCATCTGAGCCTTTCGTCTTCAAAGACTTGGAGCTCCTAGGAATTTTTACAATAGGGACTTCCACTTGATATTACATTTTCTGACTTTTCTCCCCTTTGAACCCTTAGCGACTATCCTCATCTTTCCCTCAACTGGCATCAAACAGATGACACTCTGATATCATTACCCTCAATGCTTCTCATACCTTATTTTCACAAAAAGCTTTATATTTGTACCCTGGTCATGCTTTGTACTACAGTTGTTGAGCCCATTCTTGGGTCTGCCTGAGTATGTTTGATTGTCCCTGTATACCTGCTGACTGGGTCTGATTCATGATTTGGCTGGCCTTATTGAATGTGGATGTAGAGAACCTTAGCCCCAGGAACATGTTCAGTAATTAGCTATACTGGTCTACTTCTCTGAGAATCTTCCACTACAGGTAAAGGACAACACACTGCTACCTGACCATGACTACCTGCTAATCACATGGGACCACACCTGCGTAGGTGATGGTTCTGTTCATAAGTGCATACTGCCTGACCTCCATTTCTTATATATTATTTAAGGGTGATGAGGGCAAGAGCTTGTATACCTCCTTTTTATGCAAG